AGACAAAGAACTTGTTGAGTACCTCAGCCTTCTCTATATCTGTTGTTGCCAGTTCTCACTTGTAATTTATTGAACAGGGTTCACTCTATTTTGCCTTTCTCTTCTGGCCAACGTACCTGTAGAACCCCCTATTGTTATTTTTCACATTCCTTTCCAAGTGCACTTCCATTCGTGCCTTGGCTTTCCTGATCTCATCTCTGCATGTATGGACAACATCATTATGTTCTTCTCAGGCCACGTGTGCCAGTTCTAAATCAGTTCTTCTGTTCAGCACAGAATCTAGAGGACTAGATTGAAAACCCTCCTGAACTTCATTTCCTTATCTCTAATGCAATTGGTCCTTTCAGAGTAAACCATTTATTCTTAATAAAAATCTGGCTGTTGAAAGTAAGATGGCTACTAAAATTATTCTGCTTTCTGGGGCCTTTTATGAGCTTTTAAGTGACACTGCTAGAAAATAGGGAAATAAACCATTGTTGGAAAAGGAAATGAGAAGGAAATACTGTTCCTGGTGACTGGAATCCTCTGTATTTTTTAAATAAAAGGTAGCTTTTGTTTTACGAATAGCTTCACTACTATGTAGTGTAGATATCTGCAAGACAAGAATTTGTAGTCCAGCTTTTCTGCCTTCTGAAACAGCAGTGAAATAACAGTTAACTGTCTGGTCACTGGGGATAATGCATAAAACCGGAAAGAAATCTGCTTTTCAAGATTGTATTTGCAGTCCTAGCTGTTGGTAAAGCTGTGTTCTGATTTGTGCATTGAGGAGATTTGGTATGTAAGTCACCAAGGAGAACAGAATGAATAAAAGAATTTCCTTTTTTACAGTTGTTTATACTTTTTGGTTCATAAAAAAGTACACTTTATCATCCAACTTCAATCTTATTTTCAATATATCCTAACTAGAGGGACTTAATTTTTTTCCTGTTTGGATAGATACAACATGGGGAATGTGAAAACTATGCATTCCCAGTATTGGAATAGCTGACAGGATCAGTATCTTTTGGTGTTTTCACCATCCTAATGTCTCTGTAAGGTAGAGAAATGTTACTGCTCGTGTTCAGAGGTACAAAAGCACAGCTCAGATTCCAAGAAGCCTATGCAAAAAAAAAAAAGGGATTAGAATCTGTTTATCAGCTAAACACCTTGGCTTTTTTTGTAGGTTTAGTCACATCCTCATACTATTAGAATAGCCATTGTGTACTAAGACTGGCAACACATTCATTTTATCCAAAGAATAAAAACAGAACAAAGGCTAAGAATTTACATAACGGTAGCATCTTGTCATCACAGGAAAACTGCCTCCCTGTCTACCTTGCCTTTTCAGGTGCACATACATGTGGGGCTCTGGAACTCAAGGGACAAGTAAGCGAAGATGTGATGGAAAATCCACCCAGGAGATTATCTAGGATGAGGCAGTCATCTCCACACCTCAAGACTGCCTCTGCCAAAAAGGAAAGAAGGGTAACTTCTTCTGAAAGGAACAGAGGGCCCCTACATGCTGGCCAGACTCTACCATTAGGAAAGAGCGCTGCCTCCCTCGTGCCTGGGTGAGGGCCATTACCAGGAGACTCCTTAGTTTGGTTTGCCCCTCTGATTCTTGTCCCTTACTGATAGTTCAGGGTGGCAGCAATGAAGTCACTGAGAGAAGACTGAGGGCTATCACAAAGACTTTGTGAGGCTGAGCAGTTGGTGGATGGAGAGGGAGTACAGGTCATACTTTCCTCTATCCCTTCAGTGGCAGGGAAGGATACAAAGAGGACCAGGAAAACCCATCTGATAAATACATGGCTGAGAGACCGGTACCTCAACAGCAATTTTGGCTTTTTCAACTACAGGACGTTTTACTCAACACCTGGGCTGATGGCTGCTGATGGGATCCACCAAGGTCATATGGTGAAAAGAATTCTGGCCCAGGGCTCATGGACAGGGCTTTAAGGCGGGAAGGGGTGATAGCAAGCCTGCCCGTGACAAGGTGTGAGATAGCATAGCTAAGTTAGAGGAACAAGGTGCAAATAGGGGTCCTCAACCTGCTGCATCTTATGATGAATGTACTGGGCAGCAAGCTGTCAGGGCCCATCACCAGGGCTTTAAAACAGATCTGACAGAGGAAGGGAATATGCTGCTGAGTAACATAGAAGAACTGGGGAACTCTGTTGCTTTAGGATGCAGTGGTGGAAAGCCCCAGATTTTTTCCAGAGGATTTTGAGAGGGTTTCTCAAAGACGGTAATGCTGCCAAAAGCCCAGCTGAAGTGCCTCTATACCAATGCATGCAGCATAGGAAATAACCACGGTAAACTGGAAACCATAGTGCAATTGGAGAACTACAGTCTTGTTGCTGTCACGTAAACATGGTGGCATGATTTGCGTAACTGGAATACCATGACTGAGGGCTGTGAGCTTTATAAGTGAGATGGGCGAGGTAGGAGAGGTAGGGGAGTTGCTCTTTACGTTAAGCAGCAGATAGACTTGGAAGAGCTGCTACTGAGAAACAGCCATGAACAGATTGAGAGCTTGTGTGTTAAAATTAGGGACAGGGCCAAAAAAGGACAGCTAATGGTCAGAGTCTACTACAGGCTGCCTGATCAAGGGGAGCCTGTTGATGAAGCCTTCTTGCTTCAGCTGCAAGAGGCATCATGCTCTCGGGCTTTCATTCTGATGGGGGATATCAACCACCTGGATACTTGCCGGGAAAACAATATGATAAGCTGCAAGTAGTCCTTGAGACTCCTGTTATCCATTGATGAAAACTTTCTGGTTCAGGTTTTGGACAGACCCAATAGAGGTGAAGCACTGCTGGACCTGGTGCACACCAATGTGGAAGAGAGAGATAGTAAAAGAAGTTAAGATTGGAGGCAGCCTGTGCTGCATGTCTTGGTTGAGTTTGTGATCTTGAGGAATGTGGGCTGGGTAAAGAGTGGAGTCAGACTCTAAACTACAGGAGTAAAAACTCCTGTCTTTATAAGGAATTGTTAGAAGAGATCTGGGAAACTGTCCTTTGGGACAAAGGAACAGAATAGAGCTGACAGCACTTCAAGGACATCTTTCTGAGAGTGCGAGAGCTCTCCATCCCCCAGAATAAAATCAGGCACAGGAGGCAGATACCAGCATGTCTTTGCATGGATCTGCTTGTCCAATTGAGAGATAAGAAGGAAAAGTATTAGCAGTGGAAGTGGGGATTGTTGGTCTAGGAAGAATACAGGGATGCAGTCTGGGTATGCAAGGATGGAGTCAAAAAGCCAAGGTGCAGCTAGAATTGAACTTGGCAAGAGATGTGAAAAACAATCGAGATTCTTTAGAAACATTGGGCAGAACAGACAGGTGAAGAAGAGTGTACCCTTCTAGTAAATGGAAATGAAGAGTTGGCCTCCTCAGACATGGCCTTGTTTTGATGATATAACTTGGTACAGCACACTAGTCTGTAGCTTTCTAACTGATTGGATAGCCCACTCCATGCTGAGTTTTCCAACAGAAAAAATCTCTCAGAAACTTTCAACAGATTTTAATAAACACCTGGCCTTAAATTCAGCTCAGTAAATCTTTAATGAAGGTGAGAGATATGCATCGAGAAGGAAATTAGCTAGCTATCTTGCTTTAAAGATTCATGGAGTCTTTTGCCTCTGAAGCAGAAGGGCAGGGTACAGGGCAACATGGACAAATGAGGTTATGTACAGGCAGTGCAGAACACCCTTGACAGTTCAAGCACAGCTTTCACACAGTAAAAAAATCCCTACTACTACTAAAGATTTCTCTGCAAATGTGAGAGGAAATGGATGAAATGGGAGTAGGACCCAGTTTTAAAATAACGAATACAATAAAACTTACTCAAACTGCTTTATTCAATGCTAATAACTTCAGATATTTCCCCCCAGTAAGGGCTATTTTGCTCCAGTTTTTGTACATGTAGAAATGTAATACAGAGCTATACACTACAAGCTATTGCAAATGTATGCAGATGTCAGCAGTGGGGAAAAGAAAACACTACAAAGCTGAAAACATAAATAGAAAGCCTCTACTGTGAAAAGAAAATCTTAAAATTGCTACTAAGTGTTAGTTAAGATGGTTGGGAAGGTACAGATATCAGAGCTTTAAACTCTGAAGTCAGCTACAGATCCTTTGCTGGAGGACTTGTACTCTTATCTCAAAAAGTATAAGACTGTACTGAAACCACAGGATTTGACAAGATTTCAGAATGTGTATTAACAAAGCTATTGGAGAAGCTCTTTGCTTGTCTGAGCCTGACAGCAGGGGCTGAAGATCAGTGGGAGAAAATAAATTTTAAAATAAACATGCTCTGAACTTTAAAAGAGGATAAAGTTCTCTTTGCAAACAAACAGTGTCCATTGATATGAAAAGAGTTTACTACGCTTATCATGGAGACAGGGATGAGAAAGCTACACGGAAGGCAGAAGAAAATGGAGAAAAGAAGAAAAGCATTTCACCAGGGATTACTTCCTTATATGGCTCTGTGCACACATGGGTTAGGTGGTATAACAAAGAAGAATAAAATGAACAGGACATAAAAGAGTTTGTAAGAGAAAAAACAAAGGCAAAGCTCCAGATAACGTTCTGGAAAAGAAGGACATACAGTAATACAGAGTATGAATAGCAGACAGACTGAAAAAACGGTGCATAGATGCAGAAGGAAAACTAGAACCATAAATATTTATTCTCTCAGATCAACTGATACATCAGTTTTCCATGTACTGTGTTGAGCAAGATTGCCAGCCCCTCAGATCAGATTCTTCTTACAGAATGTTATTAAGTGTGGCACAGTGGAGACCTTATTCTGCAGGCAGCTTTGGGGGATAACACTAATAAGAGGACTGCCATTTTTAAATGAATTTTAAACAAAGACTTTCTGAGTTCTGAAACAAGCTGGCAATGATTATGACTGCCAATGGACTCCATGGCCAGACAGCCGGCTGGCTGCATAAATAAACTAACCCTGTAATATAAAAGGCCTTCTTTAATCTAAAAAAATAATAATAAAACTTACCTATTAGAGCAGAGCTCCCTGGACTGATAGTCATTTTTGTTCCTGAAGGAGAGGTCAACACTGAAGGAAGGCTGGTCCCAATGCTGGAAAGCACTGCTGTCAAATTTTCTAGGTAAGGAAGGGGTCGTGGAGGCTCTGGTAACAGATTAGGATACTGAAGTGATGAGCAACACCATAGCAGAAAACATAGAATCTTAGAATCATAGAATCACCAAGGTTGGAAAAGACCTAAAAGATCATCCAGTCCAACCGTTCACCCACTCCCAATAGCTCCTACTAAACCATGTCCCTCAACACAACATCCAGCCTTTCCTTGAACACCCCCAGGGTCGGTGACTCCACCACCTCCCTGGGCAGTCCATTCCAGTGCCTGACCACCCTTTCTGAAAAGTAATACTTCCTCACGTCCAGCCTGAATCTCCCCTGCCGCAGCTTGAAGCCATTCCCCCTGGTCCTATCACTAATGACACGAGAGAAGAGGCCGACCCCCAGCTCACTACAACCTCCCTTCAGGAAGTTATAGAGAGCAATGAGGTCTCCCCTGAGCCTCCTCTTCTCCAGGCTGAGCATTCCCAGCTCCTTCAGCCTCTCCTCATATGGCCTGTGTTCCAGACCCCTCACCAGCTTTGTTGCCCTCCTTTGAACACGTTCCAGGGCCTCAATATCTTTCTTGCAGTGAGGGGCCCAAAACTGGACACAGTACTCGAGGTGCGGCCTCACCAGTGCTGAATATAGGGGAACAATCACCTCTCTGCTCCTGCTTGCAACGCTGTTTCTGATGCAAGCCAGGATGCCATTGGCCTTCTTGGCCACCTGGGCACACTGTCGGCTCATGTTCAGCCGAGCATCAATCAATACCCCCAGGTCCATTTCCTCTACGCAGTCCTCCAGCCACACCGCCCCAAGCCTGTAGCGTCGCCTGGGGTTATCATCTTAATTACATCTTACATCTTAAGGACATAAGAAAAACTCCCACTACAGACTGCTGTGCTAGTGGCCATGCTGCCATATTATTTCAAATAGCAAAAAGCAACTTTGGGAAACTGCTAAAAAAACTAAAATACTGATATTAGGTAAAACACAAGAGAAAGTATTAAAGTAGCATCTTCATCAATATGACTACAAAACAAGAAAAAAGTCTGTCTAAAGGCTACCACTGCATTCCATTTGACTGTCCTTTTTCAAATGTAATAAGTGTATTAGGAGATACAGCAGCTTGGAAGAAAGAGCAAATTTATACAGAATAAAAACCGCACCAATGTCCATGGCAGTCAGTGCAAAACTTTTTAATGTCTGCTACAAACTGGATCAAGCCTTGATTAAATACAGTGCCAAATACTGCCAAATCCTGTGGTATACTTAGGCAGAGCTCCAAAGGACAAAAAGCTCAAAGAGCTCAAGAGGATCACTCTACACTGAGAATTGCAGGATTTTGTCATTCTACTAGCTATAATACTATTCAAAAACATGACTGTGTTGCTTTTGATTCCCAATTCTTTTTTGTCATAGAAATTACAGAATATTTAAGTGAATAATGGCTTCACTGCTTTTCAACAAGACCACAGCACAAACTGAGCAAGATTTCTGCTACTGAGCACATTCAACATCAGAATTATGAATTGTGGATGTCTGAACAATTTCTTTCCACCTGAACAATTTCTTTCCATCAAGAAACTAAAAATGAGATTTACCTGAAACATAAGCAGGTTGCATAACTCAGAGTAACTTTGCGACTTTAAAAACTATGACATTTATAAAGATTAGAAAAGTATTTAATTTAATTCATATAGGAATTCTGATCTGTAATCTGAAACCTAGCTGACCTTTTTTTTTTTTTTCCAGAATTTTTCAGTCTGAGTTTCTAGAGCCAATCTGGATTCATAGTGAAATCCCACGATACTTTAAAGTTTTACTGTTACCTGTGAAACTGTCAGAAAACTCACTTTCAATCTGTAAGCTACCTCATCTGCAAGACCTATGCTCACTCTAGTCACAAATGACAAGAGCTGCACTGATGCTTTAACGATTTTGTAGTGGTAGCATGGAGTATGTTTCACAGTTTGTTACTTCACTGTGAAACGTACATCAAATGTATGCATTTACGTGTCTGGCTGGATCATTCATCTGGCAGACAGGGAGAAATGATAGAGATGAGTTACTAGGAGAGGAAAGCCCTTTCCCACACACTCAGTTACCACCAAGTGACACTTCTACCCATACTTCACAGCTGACATTGTCTTTTCAAATCACCAAGAATGGCTTTACGCTTGTTATTTAGAAACTCAAGAAAAAGTAAACTTCACCCTTTACTGAAGCACTTTTCAAAAATGCACTGTGTTTATGCACCTGTTTGGTATAAAATGGGTCAGTACCACACAGCTATGTACAAGAAATGCTGAGCTCAGTGAAGCAAAACACAGCAAAAAAAGCCGCATCATTCTCATTTCAAGAGAGTCACTTAATTAATAAATCATTTTCTTCACCATCAATGTGTGAAATAATGAAACTGAATATCTCCACCCTGGAAGGGGTAGTCCTTAGCCTGAAACATCTTGCTGCTATGTCATTCCCTCTTTTCACATCCTCTGATTAATTCTGAAGGCTAATTAGGCCATCAGCTATATTCCTACAGCTTCACAAGCAAAATACTCTGTACTTACCAAGAACCAACAGCTGGGAGCTTTCAGTTACCTCCCCACGTAGATTGGCTGCCCTGCAGGAATATAACCCCTGATCTGACAGAGAAACATTCGCAATTAGCAGCAACCCATCGCGCAGGTGGTGAGCAGGGGACAGCTTGACCTTATTTTTAAACCAAGTAACTTCCGCTTCAGGAACACCTGGAAAAACATTGACAACACATAACACATATAAGACATAGAGGTTGCTATCATACAGACAAAATGTTTAAGACAGAGCCATTAAAATAAGCTCTTAACATGACTTTCAACTGACATTTTTTGCAGCTCAGAACTGTTTAGTCAACTTTATCATTGTCTTTGTTATTAATACTCTAAAGTTGTTAAAGTAAACTCTGAACTCATCACTCTTAAAAGCAAGTCAAGTATTGGATGATAACAAAGCCTGGTATCTAGCCTAGAATCCTGTCTCCAACAGCAGACTTAACCCAGTGCCTCAGGAAGACTAAGAGCAGGACAAGTATTCACAATGCTTCCTGCTATTGCTCTTCCAGCCTCCAGCTACTTTCAGCTTAGGAACTTCCTCAGCCAGAAGGCATTTTTGTGCATTCAGGAACCCTCCATAGACTGCTCTTCTATGAATTCTTCCAATCTTCCTTTCTGAACTAAGGCAAAAAACTAGCATTTACATCTTCAGAAATGCAGTTTCACTGGTCTAGCCAGGAGTGTCCAGACAACAGATTTTTGCAGATTCATAACCCACTACAGGAAAAACTGCTTTCTTTAATGTGCTTTGATCTAAGGCTCATCTCTATTGGGCACCTTCTTGGAGGAAAGTACTCTGACACAAGCTAGCAAGGCTGCTGGTCTTGAAATGAAAAGTATTTTCTTGGTATAGGGATAGCTCCATCAACTTACATGTGTACTAGATTGGGTAATTCAGTGTAAACAACTGGTTTACATGAATAGAACTGGAAATTTTAGTAGGTGGGATAGATGTGTGTAGTAGTGCCTGGGAGGAAGCATTTACCTTATGGACCCATGGCTGTGAGGAGCAGCATATCACTAACCCCACTAAATGCTGGAGCAGTTTCCCATTTGCTGCATCTTCCATAAGTAGTAGGCACTTAACCTCTTCTACATGAATGTGTAGTTTCTTTTTGCTTACTGTAGAGTAAGGGCATGCTTATAGGCAGCTATTCCTAAAGATATATTGCCCACCTAAATCTCTTCCTGCCTTATTTACAGCAACACATTCTTCTGTGCACTGCCAGTAGCTTACTGGTTGTACATCCACATCACAAACCAAAAGCCAATCTGTTTGTCAGTTCTGTGGCTCTGGCACTGGGTCTGGCACCAAAAATACTTTTGTCTGTGCTCACTATGAACGACACCCATTTGTCTGCATTTGTAGTGACCGGATGATTGGAGGTTCCTCACTAAGTATGTGCAGATGGAAGTGGGAAAGAGAGGTTTTCCCTGTTCCTCCACATCAAAGCATTCCGGCCTTTTTTCCACCTCTCCCAGAATTACCTGTGGACTCTGCCAAGACATCTGGAATGAGTACATCTGAGCTTGGCAGTCAGGAAGGTCTGAAGGGCAGAGAGTCTCATCCACATTCAGAAAGTAGCAGGAAATAGGTTGTAAAAAACTGCAGAATTTTTCTCACCTTTGTTTGAGGGTGCATAACACAAAGTAATCTGGACTCTTCAAAAGTATTAATCATTTCTGTCTGTGATGCAGTTTTCCAAATGCTTACCCTTGTTTATGGTTCTGTAACACAACTTTTTAAAAAGGCTGCTCTGTTGGCCTGTTTCTGAACTCTCAGCTGGGAAAGGACCAGAACGCAGCTCTCCATCTGTTTGCTACTCTTTGACCTACGTGGCATGGGTGGGCCGACCACCACTTAAAATCATGCTCTGATTAATTCCAGAGCATCCAGGCAGAGTCCTCAGGGGAGTTCAGACAACTGCTAGATAGCAAACAACACCAAACCTTGAGTTTTTTTCAAGCCCATGTGTTTATTGTGTTTCCACTGCATGCAAAGGAAGTTTAAGAGGTGTGTTCTAGAGAGACAAGGAAAGAAAATGGAGACTCTTCCAGTTCTGCAGCCCAAGTTGGAAAAACACTCACATCCCAGCACTCCTTCCCAGTGCCACACTAGAGAAGGGATGAATCACTCTTTCTCACAGTTTGAACTTGTTATGGTACACAGTTTCATATTATGACTGTTAACAAACTTTGGCATAGAAGTATAATGAATCAGTACCATGTTTATAAAACTGAGATTTCTTCAATTCAACCCAGAGCTTTTTTTTCTTTTTTTCCAACTTGAAGATTTGGGTAGAGATTTTATGTGCTTGAAAATAAAGGAAAGTAAGTGGAAACAGTGGAAAAACAAGGGGGATGAGGAATGCTGCAAGTTGTAAAGTAGGAGGGGAAGGAACAATGAAAACTCAAGATTACAGTCCTCAGGAGCAGAGAGCTAAAGTAAATAAGTCAAGTCAGAGAGACAAAAAAATTAATCTCAGAGACAGCCGCTCAGATAATCTTAATCCAGAAAGGCAGAGTCTTCTCATATTTACTACTTTAGAAGAACCAACAAGGGGTTAAGAGTAAAGACCAGTGTATTTCTGTCCAGTTTATAAAAGATGCATTATACTTACACGATGTCTACCACATCTAAAATAACCCTTCTCTGACTGCCTACAAAGGGTAGGCACACAAAGGGTTTTCTTCCTCTGTCTTTAATGCGAAGCTCCTATGCTAAACAAAGATGTCTTGAAATCAACCTGTACCATCTTCCTACAGTGTGGTTTCAAGAATATAAGAGTCACCCTTTATGTCAGGGAGCAGCAGACTCATTTTCCATTGTGCTTCCATTTCTGATAACATATAAGCCTCAAATGTTTCAAGACAAGAATTAGAGGCAGCCAGCAAAGGCACAAGCAAATACATTTTTACAGTGCATTGCCACAAGGGGTAGCAAGAGCATTTCAATCATTTTTGCTGGGTAATGGTAAACAAGAGAGAGGAAAGAAGACTGAGTGCATCTGCTTTGCAGAAATAATCACAGAGACTGAAAGCCTGAGAGATGCCAGATGGAAGCAAGCCTTACTTTGCTGGGCAAGTCAGATATTAAATAGTTAATAATTTCCCAACATTTATTTTTCTTCAGATTTTCCTTCTATCACTGTACACACATACAGCACAACAAAGGCTACTTGGAGTATGCATCAAGTAGAAACATGCATATCAAACAGGATGATTCTGCTAAAACATGACCTTCTGGGGAAAGGAATAATGACACAATAATCTAGCAGTGATAACTTGTTTTCCATGCAACAATATTATGACAGATATTAGATTCTAGTACAGCTGAGGAACAAATATGGACCATAAAGCAAGGAAAGAACTGGAAAAATACAGGTTCCAGCATGTAGATGAAACACAGAAGAAATAGGAGAGATGAAAAACCTGAAGGATACACAGGAAAGGATTTTAATTCACTCCTGAAAATCTATTCTGTCTCAAAAAAGCTAATGATACATGATACTTTACAGATTTGTGCCTCTATTAGAAGTTTCATGCCTTGAAAGAAACCATGGAGAAATGCCCTAAGAATAAGATTTTTTTAAACAAAATTCTCTTTTCACATCTAATTCCACGGTCAATAACAACTAGGACCTGGCTGATTGAAGTTTCTGGTATCCAAGTGAGTATCTCCATGCTTTAAGTATTGAAGTCAACAAAAAGCTTCCTAGTGACACCGGTATGATCCAAATTGCTCCTGCATCCTATTTGGAAGTAAGACTAACTATTGCATTTGAATTAGTCCAGTAAGACAGTTGCTTTTATGAAAACTAGGGAAAATTCTAAAGCTAGAAGTCAGGCAGCTGCAGAGTGGCCTGTGATGACAACTCTGATGGGTGCACCATTAGAGCATGAGTTTTGCAGAAGTCTGAGCTTTACCACAGTCACTTATGACAGAATAGCAGGAGTTAGAAGGTACCTCAAGATATCACTGAGTTATGTTTTAAAAATAACATTTCACCTCCATAGGTGAAGTGGCAAAATCATGATAAATGAAACAAGATTGATTTTTCAAGCTTGGAGAAAACCACACCATTTTCCTTATATAATGAGGGAAGAGTTTAAGTCCAAGATAATTCAGATCAGAGGCAAATTAATCTGATAATTTTGCTTTCCCTTGATTTACAACTAATATCTATAGGTCTCAGTCCAAAACATAGATTTTGACAATGCTTATGCCATTCATAAGAAGTTAAAGAGCAATACAAAATTTTTCCCATTGGTAATGCCCATTGTCAGTGAAAGTGGCCATGCAGAGATCTCAAGAAAAAGCATTAAACTTAAAATAACAGAATAACAGAATCATAGAGTCACAGAATGGCCTGGGTTGAAAAGGACCATAATGATCACCTAGTTTCAACTTCCATGCTATATGCAGGGTTGTCAATCACCAGACCAGGCTGCCCAGAGCCACATCCAGCCCTGGCCTTGAATGCTTCCAGAGACGGGGCATCCACAACCTCCCAGGGCAATCTGTCCCAGATTACATACATTATTATGAATCATATTGCTTAATATTTAAAATAAATTAGTTTAACTATGTGAAAAACAAGATATCCAACTGGGAGACAGGGAATACAAGTTCTATTCTTGGCTTTGCCATGAACACTGTGACCTTGTGGAAGTTTCCCTACCCCTTCCATTATACATGGGTGGGAAACTGAGGCTGAGGGAAACTGTTTACACTACTTTAATTTTCTTCTTCCTTGAAAGAAAATGGAAATCAGTCTGAATGCTGAAATCAGTCTGGAGCATTTACGAACAGAGGACAACAGGACTACTGCAATTATTTCTTTATGAACCACTCGAAAAATAATCCTGTACTTTTACTTCATCACTGAAAGAAATGAACGCTTGAGATCCTAGCCTGCTTGCATGGTTGCCATGCATACTTCGCTGAAGGAGGGATTATCAAATACTCCTTGTACATAAGAACGTGGGTAATGGCGTTTTTGGCAGCACCTGATGAAGAGAAACTCACAACCACTCTGTTAAAGTAAGCAGAAAGTGTAAAGAACCACAGAATCACAGAGTGGCCAGGGTTGGAAGGTACCTCAAGGATCATGAATCTCCAACCCCCCTGCCACATGCAGGGCCACCAACCTCCACATTTAATACTAGACCAGGCTGCTGTGGGCCCCATCCAGTCTGGCCTTGAACGCCTGCAGGGATGGGGCACCCACAACCTCTCTGGGCAGCCTGTTCCAGCACCCCACCACTCTCTCTGTAAAGAACTTCCCTCTGACGTTCAACCTAAATCTTCCCTGCCTCAACTTAAAACCAATTCCCCCTTGTCCTGCAGTTATCTACCCTTTCAAAGAGTTGATTCCCCTCCTGTTTGTAGGCTCCCTTTAGGTAGTACAGGCTGCAATGAAGTCACCCCCACAGCCTTCTCTTCTCCAGGCTGAATAAGCCAGCTCCCTCAGCCTTCATAGGGGAGATGCTCCAGTCCCCTGATCACCTTCATGGCCCTCCTCTGGACACTCTCCAACAGCTCCCTGTCTTTCTTGTACTGGGGGCTCCAGACCTGGACACAGTCCTCCAGAGGGGGCCTCACGAGAGCAGAGGAGAGGGGGACAATCACCTCCCTGTCCCTGCTGGCCACCCCTCTTCTGATAGAGCCCAGGATACCATTTGCTTCCTGAGCTGCAAGGGCACACTGCTGGCTCATGTTAAGCTTTTCATCCATCAAGACCCCCAGGTCCTTTTCTGCAGGGCTGCTCTCAAGCACCGCTCCTTCCAGTCTGTATGGATGCCTGGGATTCCTCTGGCCCAAGTGCAAAACTCTGCACTTTGCTGTGTTGAACCTCATCAGCTTCACCCAGGCCCACCTTTCTAGCCTGTTGAGGTCCCTCTGAATGGCATCCCTTCCACTGTGTCAAGCGCACCATAAAGAAAGTAGGATATTTGTACGTTTGTAGCGCAGGTGTTCATTTGCAATCATCTGAAGTAAATGCTAGATGAGAAACTAAAGCATGAAACTTCATGCAGTCATACACAGCAGATGTTTGTGCAACACTGAGCATGGCTCCTTTTGTGTTTTGTAAGCTGCCTGCTTCTCCTTTTTCTGAGTGTACTATACATGAAAGTGTAATGAATGAAGGATCTGACCCTGGGTCTTTTACCAGGTCTCTCAGTTTACTTGGAGAGTCCAACCAATGAGGAAATAAATCAGACTTGATTCTATGTTCTCCCCAGATACTGCCAACAGGTAAGAAGGCCAATCTGCTTTGTTGCAACCACAAGAAACTATGTAACTCTGATGAAGAGACTTGCCATTCTGTCCCAGATTAATTTTCTTAGGAGTCTTTCTACACTTGTCTTGATGGAATTGGTAAGAAGGAAGGCAATTTCTATGATATGAGTTACTGGAAGCAGAGAAATTTGTCTGAGTCCTACAAAGACCTTGTGATTTAACACAGCTTGTGTTGCACCTGGAGACACCAATTCAGCAAAGATCTGCATAGAAACTCATAACCGAAAGCACGGCACACAAGACCAAGTAATTTCTCACCTGCAACCTGGCAGCTAATGGTAACATTTGTTCTCTGGATTGTTTTCACTGTGCTTCCAATATCAGCAGTGACAGCAGGTAATTCAGTGTTGATCACAGTAGTTCTTGATGCCTTTATTAGTGGCTTTCCTGTATAAAAGAAGGACCAAGGTTTAGCAGACTGAACACAGAGGACAGATGGTCAGTACACTCTATGAAAACAGCTGCACAGGACAGGATGGATATTGGACAATGCTGGAGTATAAGCCTACCTACTCTTTAAAATATATAAGCATTGAATTCCATCAGAAAACCTGTTTTGAGAGAAGGAAAAAAAGAAAAAGCATAGTGCAGAGGAAGAAGAGCATTAAAGACATGCGGACATGTGAGAACCAGCTGAATCAATAAACATCTGTACAATTGGAACTGTAATAAGACGTTTGCCTGATGCTGCAACTAATATTTCACCATTTGCCAAAGGCCAAACATAGGATGACAAGGAATCTTGAGAGGTGACTGATGTTCCCTTAGCAGTGCAGAAGGTGTAGAGAAACACATGGACTATTTCTACACATCAATCATGTTTTCTTTAACTTAAGATGAAAGAGTGAGATTGGGAAGACTTGACCATAAACGAAAAGTTTTCTCATAACAATAAGTTGAGAAATCTCATGTCTATCAGATAACCAGTTTTGCTTTATCTAAAGCTGTTAGTGAATGTTTTAATCACCATCTTCAACAAAGATAAATTCATATGCAACAAACCATTCAGGCTGTTTTCAGTGCGCTTCCAAAACTGATGACGGTGAACAAGTAGGTCAAGGCTTTCCCACACTATTGTGCCTGTTTGTATGGAGTTAGCTATGGAACCATGAACCATCACCAGTTCTAGTGGTCTTCTGCAACTTATACTGAAAGGGCATTGTAGAGGCATGAACAAACAGTTCAGAGACACTCAAGTTTACCTTAAAGAGAAGAAATATAGTAGTAGAGGTGGCATACTTATGCTAAGGCATCCCTCTGTTCCAGCCAAAATGCTCTGCAGGCAAGACAAGAATTGACACCAAGTTGTCCAGAAGTACTGATTTGCCTGGGAGTAGGAAGGCCCTGAAGAGGTATCTGGGCAGGTTGGACAGCTGGGCTGGGGTCAGTGGTTTGAAGTTCAATAAGACCAAGTGCCAGCTGCTGCATATTTGCCACAATAGCCCATGCAATGCTACAGGCTTGGGGCAGAGTGGATGAAAGACTGTGTAGAAGAAATGTACCTGGGGGTGTTGGTTGACACTTGGCTGAACGTGAGCCAGCGGTGTGCTCAGGTGGCCAAGAAAGCCATCTGGCTTGTATCAGAAATACAATGTGCTGCCAGCAGGATCAGCGAAGTGATCGCCCCTCTGAACTCAGCCCTGGTGAGGCTGTACCTTGAGTAATACATTCAATTTTGGGCCCCTCACCTCAAAAAAGACACTGAGGTCCTGGAGTGTGTTCAGAGAAGGGCAACAAAGCTGGTGAAGAGTCTGGAGCATAAACTTTATGAGAAACAGCTGAGGGAGCTGTGATTGTTTAGACTGGAGGAGTGGAGGCTCAGGGATGATACTGCTCTCTACAACTACCTGAAGAGTGGTTGTGGTGAGGTGGGGGTCAGCCTCTAGTGCCATGTAACTATGATAGGACTAAAGGGAATAGCCTCAAGTTGCACCAGAGGAGATTCAGATTGGATGTTAGGAAAAACTTCTTATGCAAAAGAGTGGCCAGGCGCTGGAATGGGCTTCACAGAGAGGTGGTGGAGTCACTGACCTTGGCTGTATTCGAGAATCATTTAGATGCTGTACAGACGGACATGGTTCAGTGGGAAATATTGATGATATGTGAACAGCTGGACTGGATGATCTTGGATGTCTTATTTAATCTCGGTCATTCTGTGATTCTATGATTATATGTTGGCAGAATGGGCATAATATGACAACATTGCTTTAAATGGTGTAGGGTTGGGGTGTTTTCATCTCAGTGTTGTATTTTCAGATGAAACAGAATCTTAGAATCATCAAGGTTGAAAAAGAAATTGTCACTTGCTCCTAGTATATCACTGCAATAGCTTAGCAGCAACAGCAGCAATGCCCTGCTATCCTGGCTTTAACAAAGCTATTCCTGATCTGCAATAGTGCAAAAAGATTTGTTTCTTGTTTTGTCTATATGTAATAAATATCTCTCCCTTTTCTGCCTTGAGTGATTCTGATGTCTTCCTTCTACGGGCCATACCTTCTGGCCTCTTTCTGGTTGGTTTACTAATTGCGAGAACTTCAGTGCTATCTGTAGCTGCATACTTAGATTTTCTTCATGTTTGCCCAGTCTGAAATTCTGTGTTTGGTGTAAAAAAAACCATATGTATATATATAGTGGAGGCCTCCAACTGCTTCCCCATTCAGGGGTGGGCACAATTAAATGGGAAGGTATGAAAAATCAATTAGCTTTCTAGCATTCCTAACATGTTTCCTTTTGTCTTTGTGATAAGTAGGATCTTGCTTCTTTGCAATCTGTCTTGTGACAGTCCTTAACTGCAACTCTCATTTATCCCTTTGTCTTTACCCAACAGCTTCTAATTCATGTTTGCTGCTGTGTTCCTGGTGGTTGTGAGGCTGCTGACCAATGCCTAATAACCTGCTTTTTTAGAAGTTGGATATATGCACTACTTCCATTTTCTGCTGTCTTTTATTTGGGTGGGGTTTCCTTAGCACTGCCATCTAAACTAACAAAGGCTATTTATCTTTAGTAGAATGGAACTGTTACTAGTGAAATATAAACACAGAAATTAGCATTTTGTTAACCAGCAACTGAGAGCGTTAGTCATGTTTTTTGCCACAATATAGGGCATGATCTGACATAGGGCTAGTTCTTCAGCATTAGTACTTTGCTAGTTTCCTAAACTTACATCTTACTAAGTTCTTGGGACAGTCTGTCAAACTTGAAAAGACCAGCAACAGGTCTAAAACAAAGCATACAAATTGGACATCTCGGAATGCACTGCTCATAATTGAGAATAAAGAGGATAAGCTCTTATAAGGATAAGCACACTGTCTTGAGAGTGCACTTCCGACTTAGCAAGTGAGAAAAAGCATCGATCTCTTGTAGGAGCACAGATCTCATGAACTGTCTGTGAATGTTGGATTGTGACTCAGGGTTTTGTTTTTACAACTATGTAACTCTGTCAATCCACTTTCCCCACTCATCTTCCAGACCCGTCTGTTTCCCAGCAAACTATCTCTGTCCAGAATCACACAAGTGGCAGGGACCAATAAGTCAAAATGAATTATTACCTGCTAGAGTGACAGCAATGGACACAGAGTCAGATCCCAGAGCATTAGATGCGTTGCAAGCATAGAAACCAACATCAGCTTCCACAGGTGCTAGAATCTGCAAGGAGTCATCAGGCTGAAGCAGCATCCTGGGGTAAAGCAGAAAGGAGGTAAAGGTCTCAGTTTGTGCGAGAATTAATATATTTAGTTGGATTTTTACATATTTACATGATTTTATCTTTTTTACAGGGTCAAGCCTTAGAACTATACTTAAAATACAATTAATTAATTCAAAATCCTACATTGCAGCTGTGAGTTGTGATTACTAAAACGATATTTTAGCCTAATTCCTACTATTGCTACTGTTACTGTATGTATTTGAGAAAGATTGCCCAGTGCCTAGGACATCTGCTGTGGCATGTGAGACCTCCTCCTCTGCTGTGTTACTTCATATGTGGCATCAGTCAAGTTGCTTAGCCTCTCTGTCTTCCAGTTTGGCAAAGCAGGATTAGCAATAGTAAACAAAAAGACATCATATTGCAAAAGAAAAAGTTATACAACCTCCTAAAGCTGGGCAGAATAAAGTTTCATAAGTTACAAGTTAGTATCAAAGTCTGAAATACGCTCCAGGTTCTTAGATTGCTAGGCAGTTTGTTCAAACTTAGTAGCTTTGTTACTACTGTAGTGAAGACAGAAAATAATACTCATCACCTCCTTGGGCTGAACCAACTGTCTCTGCCTTAGTGAATACAGACTTAGTGATATGATGAAGTGTTTCTGTTCACAGTATTTATGGTGATGTAACTTCATGAGTTCTTGATGTATAAGCAAGAATTCAGGCTGGGGGCTCTCATCAATGTTCACATACTTTTAGTTTAGATACATTGTGATTATTGCTTTTAATCTGTAGCTGAAACTGTTGCTAAATCATAAAGATAAATTAAATTTCTCATCAGAAATTTTAAACAGTTGCTCCATGTTTACATACTGACCTTCTTAGCTACAGCTGTGATTGACAGTGATAAGAGTGGGGGTAACATGTCTACCAAACACAAGCAAAAAAAAAAATCCACTCTCAGATATTGGAACTGATCACCTTCTTTCCCAAGTCTCCTTAAATAAAAGCTGTTGTCTTCTAGTCTAGAAAAACAGGAGATACTTGCAAAATACTGTGGGTGGTAGCTAACCAGATTAGGGCCATCCATCAAAATATATTATAGAAAAGGAATTTAGTTGAAATTCTTTTTTCACCCTTTTATGAGTAATAATAATAATAATAAATAATAATAAGAGGAGAGAGCTGCCTTATGTCAATCAAGTTTTGCAAGTAGTAAAATGCACATTTACAATACAAACATTAATCAATTCTAAGATTGCATCTTTGCTTGCATAGCAAAAATGCCACAGAGGTGGAAATAATCACCTGCACATCTCTTATATCAAGGCTCTTTTTTAATTTTAATTTTTATTTTTTTTGCTTTTTTTGCTAGCTCACAATGCTAGCAGCCAGCAGATTTCTTTACTCACAAATCTTCTGTTAGCATGCATCAGTATCTCCAATGTAAATTTTCTGGTATAGTATTTACTTGTCCTGTCTCTACACAGAATTTCAGAATCTACCCCAGTTATATTATACTTGTTTATAATAGTTATAACTGTGCATGTGCTGTCTGCATACCTGCAAATACACTGCCAGGGCTGACCAGTCCATCCTATGTCAAATAAACATAAACAACCAAAAATACATTTAGGAAAGTTTCTCTCAATTGAGAAAAGAGGATTCTTAATATTAGTCCGTGAAAAACACAAAAGATTATTTATTTGCCATTAATCAGTGCTGCTGATGTAAATCTCTGGTACTTTAAGTTACTCCAAAATTCAGCCTTTTTTTTTTTTTTTTAGGAATAGAAATAGGCCATATAGACAACAGGTTTTAAAAACAAAAACTCCAAACCAGACCCAACTTATCATTTTCTCAATCTACTTTTAATGTCCTTCTCTAGAAAATAAAGGTCCTCTTCTTTTCAGTAATTCTGTTATTTATGTGTCACAATTTGGCATAGCTGCTTTTCTTGAAAGTAGATCCTTTGTTGTCTCCCTTTGTATAGAATGATTTTTGGCTGGTTTCCCTATTTGCTCATAGACTGCTATTTTTGTTAGGTTTTCAGTTGCTTGTCAGCAGTGTCAAAAATACCAGCTGCAGCAATTCTTTCTGTCACCACTGTGTCTTCAGAATCTCATTTATGGACTTAAAATAATACAGCTTAATGTTTAATCAGTCTCATCTCAGTTTCTCCACATTGCATTGTCTTCAAGACAAAAATTATGTTCTACATTACCTAGATCAGTGACAAATTCAGACAGCATCTAGCAAGCACCTAGCTCAGACTCTGTACCACCTGTTATTTAGATTCTTCTCGCATGTACTGAGAAAATACACTCTTTTAGAAATGTTGAGTTACCAAATATCAAAGGGTCACTGCTGATGGAAACTGCAGCATTCATGGAAGAAAGGAAGAGATATGTCTTACCATGCTCACTGAAAAAAGTACAAATCCCCCAAATATTTTCACATTTAAAATAGTTTTCTAAGGAAAGTAATCTGATTCTTTTTGAAATGAAACATTTTCCAGCATTAATAGAATTGTCCAGGCTTTGGGATAGATACTAGCATGCTCTGAAGCTGCACTCAAAGTAGATGCTGTTATCCACCTGACATTTTGATCTAAAAAGAGGTCTTATTTATGCATTCACATGGAATACACAGACTGAAGTCAAAGATTAACTGGAAACACATAGCTTTACTGAAAAGTGAAAGTGAACATTTTTGTTGGGACTGTGCAGAGACTAAAGCTAAACAAATTCATTTTTTGCAAGTGGAGCAACGTAATAGGAGTCATAAATACTTTTAGGGTGGATTGCACTGCTCATTGAAACAAGCAATGGACAGTCACTCATTTCTGTGACACCTTGCCATGTCAAGACAACATCCACTGCGATTTGTGACAGTGCCTTCATCTCATATGAGATAATACACACTGCAGATTGCCATCATCTACCCTAAAAATGGTAGCTTATACTCTAAAAATCACAGCACAAAACATATACAGCCAGAGTCTCAGTGGATCTTGAGTTCTTTTTTTCCAGGCAGTGGATGGCAGAGCACAAAGAAGACAAACTGCAGAGCTGACAGACAGCTCAAGCTTACTATGCCCCACCACACACAGATGACCTTGTAGCTTACCGCTGTACAGTGGGAGACTGCTTATACTGTGGCTTTCATTTACACAGCTGATTGGCAACCAGTAAAAGCATTTTGAACCAAAGCCAGATCACAGCTGTGAAGAACCCAGAAAAACATTCATAAACCAATTTTTATATGCACTATAATTTCTAAACTTGCATTAATTGTAAAGTTAACTCTAAGATGCTGAATATCTCTGAAGCTCAGAGCACTGCTCATTTCTTCTCCTACCCACCAAACTGGGGGAAATATAACTGGTAAATAAAGAATTTGATAAAATCCTTCTGTCTCAATCATTAAAGAAGAGGGGTCAATAGTTAATGCAACTAACCTGCAAATAAACCATGCTTTACTGAGTCTTTATGATAGAAAATGTAAGCTAACATAGTTGACTGGTTTTTCAGAATATTCATGAAGCTTAATCCTATATCAGCCAAACTGAATGGAAAAGAAAGGCAATATAAAATAAAAAAATATATAATTCAAACTAAATGTTCAGAAATCATAAGAGTGTTTTATCACCAACTGAACAAAAATAAGTCTGTAGCTATGTAGCTATGGCTGCTTATATGCTGTGAGATGAACATGCAATTTCCTCATGAGCACAGTGTCCAGAGTTAACAACACACGGACTTTATGTAACCTCACTTCCCCTTCAATCATTTCAAATAGAGAAAAAAAAATCCCTTAATGGCACTGTTCCTACAGGATGTAATCAATGGCAATGAACGTTTATATATGCAACTTCTGGGGGGCCAAGAATATATTTTTACAGGACTATGGCCAAATAAAGTGATATGATAGCCCCAAGTCTCAATCAAGATTGCATGTGATTTCTCTAAGACATACATTCCTGCTCTTTGTCTCCCTTTCCCCTGCAAAAGTTTCAATTTTTAAATGTGAATCCTATTATACTGAATAGACATCAGACACAGAAAGAGAGAAAAGAACCCAAACATTCAGTACATTAGAGAAAGCAGTGATTATGGAATAGCTAGGCTGCCAAAGTGAGAAAGAAACTAGTAAACTAATCATATAACTATGCAGAAGAAGCAATTTATCTTCACTAAATCAAGATTGCACTGACAATTCATAAGCACTGCAATGTGAACTAATTTTTACCTTGACTCTGTCTCTCCTCATTTCTAAAGATAACCCACTCAGATGTCTTAACAGAGATTACCATCCTGTGCAGAAATTGCTCCTAGCAATTTTCCTTGGACTGTTTCACTGTAATCATGTCAGTTAATACCACTGCTTCATCCACACTTTACCTTTCTATACTTACATACCACCTCCTCACAGAACAGCACAAAAGTAGAAAAATCTAAAGCACATACGTGAGCAAAATGCATGGTATGAACACAGTTAAGTATACAACTAGAACTGAAAGTCTCTTTTTGTGTGCTCTTGCAGATGAATTGAACGGAGTGATCTAAAGATAAAGGCTATCTGCAGGAAAATGGTACTAATTTTTGAGGTACTTAAATAGAAGTACTTTATTACTCAGGTTTTCAAACTAAACCTCAGTGGCAGCTATACACAGAAAGTTTGTACAGGTGAGGATGCACTAACTCATACCAGAATAGTAATGCATATACGTAAGTATGTTGAGATAACAGTGAAAGCTGAAAATAGCCATAGAGTATGGTTCCACACTATTAACCACTGATGTGGACTAGTGTTTATTTTCAGATGAAGTAGCCAGCTTATGTTTTGTCCTTTAATACAATTCCAATTGTGTTTATCTGAAACCATCCTCAAATTCAAAAGATGCTTCCCTACTCTATCATAGAATCATTGAATATGACAAGTTGGAAGGGAACCACAAGGATCATCGAGGATTCATCTCCTGGATCCACTCTGGACTGTACAGAATTCAAACTATATTTCTAAGAGTTGTACAAATGCTTCCTGGACTCTGGCAGCTGATAGGAGTGATCACTGCCATGGGGAGCCTGTTCAGGGAACAGGCTAATCCCCAACCTGACCTTCCCTGACACAGTTCATGTCATTCCCTCATTCCACATCACTATCACCAGAGGGCAGGGCTCAGTGCTGCCTCTCTGCCTCTTTGGGCTGAACAAGGTGAGGGACCCCAGCAGCTACTCGTACGTCTTCACCTTTAGGCTCTTTATCATCTTTGTTGCCTTCTACCTGGCCACTCTCTAATGGTATTAAATTCCCTTTATGTCCTTTAGAATGCTTTTCACCTTCTATCAGAACATCCACAGGGGATGGTGATTATAGTGCCCACTGAGTTTTATCCTGGGGAAATTTTACACATGGATACATGTGTAGAAGACAGATGCCTCACTACCTCCATGTTGGAGAGACCTTGCTGGAACATTGTGAGAAATGCACTTATAACAGAGGATGAACCCTTCCCCAGGGAATAATACCACATGATGCTTGACAGAAAATTAAATTCCAGATTTATTTTCAAGTACCTCTGTGATCAGTAATGAAAATGTATACTTCAAAAATATCCTTCTGAATTTGGAACCAGTCTAAAACAATGCCAGAGAGTCACAAAACAGCCCTATGTATCCTGTGGATTAGCTCTGAAATCTGAAAATAAACCAGATATCATTCATCAGTGTACACCAGAACCAATCTTCATATCAGAAATTTCTACCTTCACATAGGAAAGCACAGCAAAGCTCTCAACCTCCAGACTTGGAGTGTTTTTTTGACTGCACTAAGAACTTACTTATTTCCATACTTTAAAATAACTTTATTTACTGAAACAAAAGTAAGTCTGGATTGCCATACCAGATTGATTCAGCATCCAGACCTTGCTGCAGTTACACTGCCCTGCTTGCCACTACATATATAAGCCTTTCTTCCAGCTATGAAATCAGACTATAGCAAAAACTGATTTTGCCCATAGGACTGACTGGCCTTAAGACATGGAAACTGAAGAGTAAAAATATTAACTGTTTTCTGAAAAGTTAAATAATTTATTTTACCTATCATTGTATTTCACCTCCTCTCCATTCTTAGCCCAGCTGATGGTGGGCTTTGGGTTTCCCACTGCTTCGCAGTGAAGCAGCACACTCAGTGTGCCACTGGCTAGAACCACTGTCTGTCCCAGGTGGGTGACAACCTCTGAAGCAGAAAGCTGTTGTGCTGCTGAAATCTTTCGAAGGATGGCAGGCTTTTGATGAGGGCTGTGCAAGCCATTCGTTGGGTTCATAGATGTGGGAAGAAATGCTTCAGCAGATGATGTCCTCAGGGAGCTGGTAAATCCAGAAACATGTCTGTGGAAAGGGTATTCCATGGAAGCTGAATCAACTCTTCGTCTCGATGCTTTGAGGACAGATTCCTGATGCTCCAAGTGGCTCTTGAAAATCTCATGGGCCAGCTGTACAACAAGCTGCTCAGTGTAAATATCTTTAAGCTCCTCAGGCTGCTGAGACAAATTCCTTATGATATCATCCAACCGTTTCTGCTCTGTGACCATAGTATATGGCAGGCTATACTCCTGGCTCTGGTCTTCCTCTGAGGACACATTTCTCTCTGTGGACTCCTGGGCTTCCCAGAATTCCAGATTTCCCCCTGGCCAGCTCTTGTGCTGTAGCAACCTTGAGACAATATTGTCATACCAGCCACTAGGGTCAGCTGGATGCCCTCGCTTTTCAGTCTTGCTCCCATTGAAGAGAATACCATTGATATGTTTCTCCTGTGTTCGCAAGGCTTCATTTAGACTGGCCTTTCTCATGGTCTCTTCCTCCCTAATGCCAGCTGGCTGCCCAGCAATGAGATTTTTGTTGCTTCCTATTAGTTTAATTACAAAATGCTCCCGGGCTGGCCCTGCTATACAGGTATATATCCCAGTGTCTGAAGGCTTCAAACGATGGATTTTCATGTACCCATAGGGTGCAATGGTGATGTGAGCTGTGCTGATGAGTCTCTTATTATCCTTCTCCCAGAAGATCATTGACTTCCGGAACCTCCTTGTGGGGCATCGGAGAATAACGGAGGTTTTAGGCAACAGGTAGGCATACCCACCCACAATAAAGTGTAGCTTCTTCTGCTTCCTTGTCTGGATGTAAACTTTCTTTACAGCCACAATATGAGGACTTTGCTTATGAGCTGGCCTGTTGTGCCCTGAAATATCATTAATACTATTAGTATGTGGTACCATTAAGCAAAACAAGCAGTTTACTTTGGTGCTGGCAGCATTTGACCCATTAGATAACAATAGGAGAAACTGGCCACCAGCTGCTGAGCATTAAGCTGGGACAGTCACAGTAAGAAGAACAAGACTCACTTCAGGAATGCAAAAGTAGTCTTGCCCATGATGCATGCAGAAACCTATGCACGAGGACCAAGAACTTTATGAAAAGGAGAAAAATCCAGTGTAAAGATAGTTCTTGTTGTTAACGTATTTCAGTGATGACTATTGTTTAATAAACAAATAAAAAAGATAAATGTTTACCATCCCAGATTGGAAACACAACACAATCTTGCAGATCACATGAGTAAAGAGGACTGAAAGTACTGCTAACTCAAGGAACAACATTGAACAGAACAAAAATCTATGGAATAAGATTAAAAATACTGGGGAGATACTATCAAAGTGCTTTAATTCTGTTTCCAGATCTTTATGACAGATATTTGTGTTACAAAGCACTAAACAAAATAGCATATGTGTCCTGCTAGTTAATACCATACCACATTTGGCCTTATCATTTGTTCTGAATGTGAATCCTGAATTCTTTTTTTCTCCCTGACATAATCAACATTTAATAGGTTTCAGAGTTCATAGCCTGCTCCAAGCTGAAGCAGGGTTGCCATTCAATCTTTCACATATTCAGCTGTCTTATTGCAAGCCAGGGAAGATCAGACAGGGAGACCTTTCACTTCTTGTGAAGGACAACAGAAAAGGCATGGAATACCAACATGAAATACATCCAACCTATGCTGCATGATTACTTAGGAATTCCAAGTCACATAGGCTTCTGAATGACAAAATGAAAAATACTTATTTTAAATTATCTTAAAAAAGCATCCCTTACCAAGTATTTTCTTTGTAGCTATCCTAGCAGAGTGTTTGTAGCTCAGGCTGCTATCCAGCATTGCTAAGCCTCTACATTGCAGTTGTGAAATTTAGATCTCGATTTGGAACAAAATTTTGAGCCGGTTCTTCCAGAAAGGACTAGTTCCTTTCTAGCAATTGTTTCAGACTCAGCTCCACACTAAGATTTATAAATTTTATCCAGTGACTTGTATAATTGTTAAAAAGAATATTGTGGCTTATAGAAAAACTGAGCTGCAATAGCCACTCCACGAATATTGAGCAACACTAGTGCAAAAGAATGTTATGAAGCATGTGACAGCATGAATTTCTTGGTGACGGATATGCAAGTCCCCTTTCCCCACATACTCCTAAGTTTATTCTTCACTTACTTGCACAGGTTGCTAGTGCACAGGGCCTGATCAAGGATGAGAATGGCAGAGGTGGGCAAAGGGAGGAATTGATGATGATAGAACCCCCAGTTTTCAGCATCTTTCTGCAAATAGCATTTCGACTCTGCGTTCCCTCTCCACAACTCACTGAACACTGCAAACAGAATGACAAACATTAAGGATGGTGTTTACAGATGTAGTAGAAATCATGAATGTGTGTTTCAGATACTAATGAGTTACTTCAACCTGGTGGTTATCAGTTATGATCCACAGAAAAGAGTTCAAACCCTTTAATATTAGACAGTAGTGCTCAATGCATATGTGTGCTATAGCTTGGGAAAATTTGAGCAGGCTTATTTTATTTCCTACTTGTACAGCATCATAGTAATTGAGAATAAACTGGGTTGCACAGGGATGTCCACATGTAAAAGTGTTGGCAAGCCGGGGAAAGGCCTGTAAGGGAGACAAACCCACTGCTTTAGATCCTGTATCTACAAGGTAACACATCCTCGTGAACCACACTGGAGATGGAGTGAGAGAGAGAAAAGAAACAGAGGATGAAAAGAGCAAAAAGGCAGTCTTTAAGACAAATGGCAAAGAGAATGAAGTCAGATTTCATTTTGAAGTGTGACAACATAAAGAAATGTGAGTTGTATGAATGTAAACATAAACCACGCTGCGTGAAGGAAAGATGATTAGGAATAGAATTGCCTTCTTCACTGCCTGAATGAGTGTGTCTTAATGCAGACTTCATGAGTTAAATTACTTATTTGAATAAAATGTCAAGATAGACGATCATATTAAGGCTACAGGTAGGCTCTATGAGGTGACTGGTGTTTCTTTCAGGATTAAGGTATTCTCTACCTCTTCGCATGAAGGAGAATAGAGATTAGATTGCAAGAGGGGGAGTGTTTTTCATGTTTTTCATATATGTAAAGAAATTTTTTCTTAACAGTTCTTCCAGTTCTTATGGAACTGGAAAGGAAGCCTGGGAATGCAAGGCTTTGGTAGAAAGAATTTTTTGGCCATCCTTAAATTGAAGGAAGGAAGGAACCAGCTAACATTACAAAATTAGTGTCCAAGAGTGACAGGCCTGACAGAGATGGTAGTGGTATACCTACAAAAGACTGAAATAATTCCTTTACCTTTCCCTTCCCTCCTCCTTTTGGGAAGGAAGAACACTAAGCCTGAGGAAGTGAAGATTACACTTCATGGGTGTCTTGGATGAACAGATGAAAAGGCTGCATATATACAGAGGCAGGAACTTACTGTTTTGAGCATGGATTGTGTTTACGCCAGAAAGAAGGCATAAATTGTTCTGGCTGGAAGGCTTAACTGCATCTGTAGTAGAGATGAGGTAATAACCACCAAGCTGTTGATTATTATGTCACCTACTAGAGTATTAAGTACAAATTACAGGACAAAACTAGGCACAACAGGCCTTGTGCAGTCTGAACACTTTTGGCTCCTTCATCCCATGTGACTGAGAAACATAATCACAAAACCCAGCACAATATTAATGCATACAAACAGCATACCTGTGACCAGTCAGAAAGAAGCCACTCATTAGGACAGTCCTCATTTTTGCAGGTTTGCTGGGAAACCAGCTTCGGCATGGAGCAGAAGGTTTCTGGCAGCTCTAACAAGCTTCCATCTGCCAGACGCTGCTTGCAAAGTATATCTCGCTTCTGGACACCGCCTCCACATGTCTGCGAACACTGGGAGAGAAGAGTCAGTCACCTTGCATCACATTTGCACTATGTCAAATTGCAGCAAAAATTAGTAATGAGTTTCTGTAGAGATCAACACCTAGTTATAGACAAGCAGAAAATATAAAATATTAGAGATGTCAAAGCAGATTTCTTTTTAAAATGCCAAAAGTATTTTGGGAAGTGGAAAAAATATATTTCGATAAAATGAAAAACAAGCAAACAAAACCTGCATCAGCATTTCTGAAAGATTTGTTTTCAGAAATTTGTACAGAAATGCAACATGGAGAAGGAAAAATTGCCCTTTTCTCTGTCAACTGGAAAATCAGGTACTTGCACAGGATGCAGAGGATCTAGATTCAAGCATTTCTGTCTGAGCTCCAACTGTGCTATTGGCAGGGTGAGAGAATATGGAAATGTCTCCTCCAGAAGAAGTCAATTCAAGACCTTGTTCATTTCCAGGATTTTATTATGGATATTAGATAATAATAGCTATGATCTAAATATTTATTCAAATTCAGCTTATTAAAAAAGAGTTCGCATTAGTGGGAAAAACAAACGGAAATCTGAGTGTGATAAGTAAGTTTCCCTAGTTCATCACTTCGCCTTTTCTTCTGTTTGTAATTTTCTTATTTTTCATTTCTGAATGTCATGAGGTCTATTACCAGTGCAGGTCAAAACTAAACTGTCCAGACTTGAATTCCTGTCTTTGAAGACTTCTTGCAGTGCAGCGTTTCTCTCATTTCTAAATCATGTGAAAGCTGTATTCCAGCTGCAATCTGCTGTTGGCCTCAACAATTGGTTTATAAGGTTAGTATAATAAACGATTAAATAACCACGCAGCCCTTTTATATTTATGGCTGTCATGACAGCAGTGCGTGCTCTTTCCAAAAGGTAAGGAGGAAGGTTTATTTGAGTAAAACTAAATCTGGCTGATTAATATCCAGAGAACCCACCTCCCCTCTCTCTTTAATGTAAATATCCCCCCTCTGTATCCATTTTCTACTCATGCAGGGCAGGAAATTTTGAACAAGCAGATTTAATAGATTTCCTGAATCATTTTTGTAAGCTTGGTGGCTCAGCCCTTTTTTCTGACTGACTTTTTGCTGTGGATGGCAGGAGGCTCCTGAGTCTTCTGTGCATTCCAGGCAGTTTATCTCTTTTCCAGTCAGAGGAGGAGGAAGATCTTGCACTATGCTGAAATTACCAGAAGTTGCTTATAGTTCACAACATAGGAATTATGTCCAAGAAGTAGTAAGCCAGGTGAAGAAAAATTAAAAGATAAACAAAGACATCTAGCCAGGCTGGATGTGGCTCTGGGCAGCCTGGTCTAGTGGTTGGTGACCCTGCACATAGAATGGGGGTTGAAACTAGATGATCACTGTGGTCCTTTTCAACCCAGCCCATTCTATGATTCTATGATTTATGATCGATGACAGGAATTATTTAAAAAATCTATGAAAGATCCCGCTCTGAGAGAGCTGCATAAACTTCTACACAAACCTCTTTTTTTAGGATATACATTTTCCTTGAAAGACAGAATGGAAATGCAGACTTGAACACCATGAAGAAAAATGTATTTATCTTTAGTTTGCCCTTTAATGGTAAAAAAAAGCTTTTATTCTACTGAGAATGCTACAAAGCTCAAAAGCTTCAAAAAATTAAAACAAGTAAGACAGTATTTCAATTTTCAGCAAAAGAAAACATTTATCAGCATTTCATTCAAGGACAATTCATTCTGAGGAGAGAATAGATCAAGAAAAATATGATTAAAAATATTATTTCAAGATTGCCTAAGAACTGCAGCCATACACTAGAGCCAAAATATGTTAGGCACTGTATAAACACAACAAAAGCATGTTCCCTCTGTCAGTCAAACAAATCCCAGGAAGTCTCCCTGCCCTTCCATTTCTAAGATATAAAAAAAATTAAGACAAAGCAGATCTTTTCTTGCTTCTTGCACTTCAGTCACGCACACTTCTTTGTTCTCTGAAGAATAACTAGCTACTCAATACCAAACTCCATGCCAAATGACAGAGAGAGCCAAATACTGTAACAGGATTCCTCTCGGTCTTCAGGAATGCTCTTCTAGGACAGTACTGGATTACTGCTCTGGAGCTGTGCATGTGCCCATCTTTCACTCCTGGAACCTTTTCATTTGTCTGTGATCTTTGATGTCTTTTCTCTAGTGGAGGCTTCCAGCTCTCACATTACTTCTTGAAAGGGAGTAGACCAATGAGAGCAATGTCTACGATGTCTGTTTGGATGTACAGATAGTATGAAGCAGTAATTCTTGAGAGGATCCTTATTTAGACACATCCCATCTGAACAATGTGCTCTTTCTCTCTCTTTCTCTGCTGTCAGAAAGATCTCACAGCTCTATTATGATAGAGAAGTGTGTTTGTGTCACAGGAAGGAGAGGTGCACCATGGCTTCACCTCACCTATCCAGGTAGGTAAAGTGTTTGTAGTGTGTCTCCCTCCTACCTTCCACAGTATCTGAGCAGACCCAGTTCCTATATCCCTTTCAGAGGAGATCTGTTGACTTTGAGAACTGCATCTACCCACACTGATACACAATTTTGCCTAGTTCAACAATTAGCTTAATAAAGCATAAGACAAGGCTGATGCCAGAGAAGATGATCTATACATCCTGTTCTGCTAGCCACTCATAGCTGGTGTTTGCTGCCTTTTCCCATATGCCAGCGAAGTATTTGTGCAGTTGCACAATGAGCCAAAGTGGAAGGTTAGACTAGGCTTAAAGTCAATTATACTTTTGCCTAGCTTTTGCCAGATCATCGTGTTGACTGCACAACACTTCCAGAGATTGAAAAGGAATAGGCACTGTGAGGGCAAGACAGAGCCCTCCACAGAAGCTATGGTCTCCTCTGGTAGAAGTACTGACACATTTCATTCTAAACTGCTGACAGAACTGTAACCTCGGCTTCTCCAAAAACAATCATTGCTTTGATCTATTCTGCTCATGGAACAGCCTGCAAAAATTACAATTAACATAGTTACCACTAAAAGTAGAGACGAAAAGCCAACCATCTCTGAATCTCAGCATGTGCCTATGTGCATCTTCTCACATGCATTTACTGCACAGAATTTGGGCAAAGATACCAGTTTCAAAGTTTAGGAGTCAGGGAAGATGGTCTCCCCTCCAGGTGCCTTTGGCAATGGCTGAATCTTTGAAAGGGTGTAATGTTACGGCCAGTCCTACTTACACATAGAGGTGAGGAGTGAGCTGTTTAATTTCACACTGCCCTTTGCTCATCCCTTTATGATGGGTCTACAACAGCACAAGCTATGGTTTTACTCTCAAAAATCAATTTTTTGTCTATGTTTCTACAGCGAGATGTAGCATCTAAATAGGGAAAACATGCATTTCTCTCAGCTGGTTTCTAAGGACTATCACTAGTACGATAGGACATAGTAGAAAGGACATCTTACAATACAGAGAGAAACAGCTAGGAAAATATCTGAAAAGGATAAGAGATTTCCCATGCTAGCTCTGCTGTGAAGCTATTGTTCTTACTATCTTTGGAGTGAAGATAGCACTGAGCAAGACAAAAAAAACTCAGACTGTGACACTTAGTAATAAAATAACGAAAGACGAAGATTTATTAATGGATGTCTCCCATTTGTGGTCTGAAGAACAGATATTTCCAAAGGCTTGTAAAAATGAAAGCTCACATCCGCTTTCCTGCAGCAACACACTACTGAAAACAAGATAAACATCCTAATGCACTTAGCTGAGAAATAAAACTGTTTAAAAATACATAGTCTTGGATCTGCAAAGAGATATTTTAAAAATCACTTGTAATGTTACTACACTGATAATTATCCTGTGTTTATCTGCCAGAAACACTAGGGCTTTTAAAGGCATTTAATTCAAAGAAACCTTCCTCAACAAGCATAATGATCCTTAGAAGAGAAAATGCTGTGTATTGCAGTTTTAATCTCCTGTTTATTTGTTTGCTTAAAATCTATTTTGAGAGAGTGCTTGGAAAAGAAGGATGAGCTCCATAGATGAGACCAAATAAATGTCTTCAATCTGTGCCATGAGGAGAACAGATGTTGCTTTCTATTGTCTGTGAAGCTTCATTGGACCTTTCTTATTATGAGAAAGCACCTTTCTGCACGACCCTCCACACATGTAGAAACATCTTTCAGGGATCCAGGGCAATGGGAGTTGTTTGCAAGATCTGCAGGTACAGGGTCTGCAGGCCTCTTCAGCAGCCTCCTGCCTTGGTATGCCTGCTGTACAGCCAGAGTTCACCTCCAGGTCAAGTCTTGGCTATCAACATCCAGAGATGTTCCTGACTTGTCCCAGGGGTCAAGTGGTTGTAATAATCATACAGTGCAATGCACTGTCCTGATGATGCAGGCTTTCACATGGAGGTAATCCATGGGAAACTTGTTTGACAGAACTTCCAGGCCTGGTCTTATTACAGGGTGGAAATTACAGTACAGAAGGTGGTGGTGCAGAGAAAGAAGACAGAAGACCTTTAAGAAAATGAGAGGATGGAAATTCGTTTTGATGCATTTTCTTGCTCTATATTCTTCCTGTCAGAGGCAGATGACTATTTTCAGTCCAGAATTGCACTGTTTATACCATTTTCTCCTAATGAAAGTTAATTACAAGAAATATTCAGTACCCGTATGGTGAGGTACTATCTAAAGAGCTGAGCATCCTGCAAAGCATGTGGAAGAAAGTGCAGAGGAGCTATAATGTGGCCTTTGTTAAGCCACAGCAGTGAACTGCAGTACAGATCCTCTGTCTTCACCCAGTCCAGAGAAGTCAGCGGTTAACGCATAAAATGCAACCTGAACTGTCTAATTTAATTCCTGCTTGATATGTTTGTTAAAGCCTTTATATTTAATTGGGCTCCTAAGATCTGCCACATCTCCTGCAAAAAGGCTGGTTATTTGAGAGTCCCCAAGAAAATATAAAATAAGCCTCAAACATTGCTTTAGACAGGCAGACATGTGTATGTTTACGCTGCTGAGGAAGACATTCAAATCCTGAAAAAAAAGTCTATCTGGAAATATTTCTCGCAGAAGCTATTTTAGTACATTCCAGACTGGCCTACAGCCAATGGCCATTTTTAGCAGAGCATCAATTTTTCAGCGTACTATAATGAATGTTTCTTCTGACTGTTCAAATAAACTTGCAGAAAACTGTTTTCTCTAAGGACTGCCGCCAACTATAGGCTTTTTAACAAACACAGGCACACCTTACAGTATATCTTTATTTTGTTATGCGTTAGTAAAAAATGACTTGCTATTTAGAAATGCAGCATTTATGTGTGAGTAAAGTCTAGTAATATTTAAAAGTACAACTGAGCAAATATGTGTATGTGAATATTGGTAGACAAATTAGCAATAAAGCAAGAAATATTGCTCAATTGTTTTAAACAATGGACTAACACCATAGGCTAGTCATCTAGCTTTGACAGAACATCAGGCTGGCATAAATTTTGGTTGCTGGGATGGCCCAAATCCAGAGGTTTCCTGTGAAGTCCAGTTTCACAAATTTAACAGCTTCATTAGGTTATTACATTAACATCTCCCTGGCTGCTCAGTTAATGGTAGATTTTATAGATGGAGACTGGGAGTCACATGTAAATACAGTGCCAAGTGCTCGTGGTTTTCTGATAGAAGGGAATGAATCTTTACACCAGTAGAATTGAAGGTTTAAATAAGCCTTTTGCTTATACCTCCTCTGTGCAGTGATTTTTCCCTTTTTTTTCTTCGGCAGGACAGAGTAATTTCTTCCTATGAAGATTATATCCAACATAAACACCCTTAGGTCTTTTGAATTGCTTAAGTGTTTTCTTTTGCAACCAAATGGCAGCAAATAAATTCATTTCAGGCTGCCTAGTGAAGAGCTTTGTGCACATCCACTGTGTAGATAGGAATTTTCAGTAATAGTGTAAAAAGGAATGAATTTCATAAAGTGAAGTACCCAAGATTCATTTGTGACTTTGAGGGATGAGGAGAGATTATTGCTCTAAAATAAATTATATGAGAATAAAAGGAATAGTCAGCAAGATCTAGAGATTCTCTCCTTCCTGATCCCTGTAGCTTTGTATTCTTAGAAATCCTGGCATTACTCATCCAAATCCAGCTGACCATTAATCACATTAATCACAGAACACATCTGGTATCTATGGTCGGCTATTAAATGTTATCACTTAATTTTGCTTCAGAAGTAGCAACAATCATTATTTGCCAATTAAAACCTTGATTTAGTTTTCACTGAAAAGCAAAAAGACACATTTCTAATTTTTTAACTAGTTTATCAGCATAGAAAATGAATTTTCTTGATAGGCTAATGCAAAACAACTCACTGATAATGCATTCAGTGACTGCTTTTGACAGTAATTAATGAGATTACCTCATACATTCTTACCTCTTGCCATTCTGTAGTATACCAGGAGGGCGGGCAGTCAAAGCGATTACAGGCTTGTACAAGCGATGGCTTAGGTTTATGGCACAATTCATCTGCTAAAATCACAGTCTCGTTACTTTCTCTTGATAGTAGGTGAGAACAGAAGACATCTCGTGTCTGCAATCCGACCCCACACGTAAGACTGCAGGTGTTCCATTTCCCAATTTCCCATCTGTGAAGGGGTCAGGAGAGAAAAACTTCAGCACAAAATAATGTATCCTTGATCTTTTATCTTTTTATAATAGGAGATGGAGTGAAGAAGCAGTGCATGAAAGAGATTCCTCCTTCTTTGACCAAGGTGAACCTTCTGGTAGCTGCTGGATGAGGTTAAAAAGAGTATTAACTGTTCCCCTGCATTTTAGTTTTGTCAAAAGCCCTTGGACTTTAAGTCTGTAATATTGTAAGATTAGTTTTGTGTCCTAAATTAAAAGTCTTTGATGAGCCAGAGCCTGGCTAATGTATTTCAAGAGTGAATGGACCTGATTTAATGGTTCTTTTCTGTCTTTAGCCAGAAGACAAAAACCCTAGTAGCAACATTTATGAGAGGACTGGTGAATTCCTGAGCAGCAATTTCTTCCAGAAGATCTAGATGTGGGGCTCCAGACAGATTTTCCCCTGTTGGGGAGGTAAGGAGAGATAAGGCCTTGAAAGATGCAACAGAATAGCAGCAAGACCTCCTTAAATTTCTAAGTAAAAAGCTGTTACTGAGTCAACCCTTCTGTCCTAGCTGCACAAATCCTGCATCAACAGAGTTGCTGATGCCTGAATTTCAGTGTTCATCACATTAAAGCTAGATTTCTAAGTTCTGAGCTGTACTGAAAATACTCATTAATTCTGTCACTGACACACAGAAAATTGCTTGAAGTCTCAGGTCTCTCTTTTGTACTCTACTAGAAGGCAATTCAGAGATATAAAGAACACATTCACAAAGAAATCCTATTTTCAGAATGAACAAAAAAGAGAATAGTCTTCCCATCAACTTTAGATAAAACACTAGACTGACATGGGCATACTCCCACATCCAGAATGAAAGTACAAAAGGCAGATACTGACACTTTCTCTAATCCTGAAGAATAGCTTCCCTTCCTGCATGATGTCACCAAAACTGCTGGGGAAGTAAACTAAACATTCAGGATAAGGAAGGCTCAGTGAACATGCCCTTGAACACAGTAAAACTAGGCAGAAACTAAAAAGAGTGATTATGATGAAAGACACCCTCAGGCTCCAAGCAGGATAGGGATAGACAGTGAATGAAAATTATGAAATTTGTCAGCAACATGAAGCAGAATCTGCAAAAGAGTTAAGGGGAAAAACTCTGACAGTCTACAGTCAGAAGTTCAGCATGTTTCAGATATACCATGTTAGTAAATACTTTAGGGAAAAACACCTAATAACCTACTGTCACATAACTAACATGGATCTTTTTTTAAAATAAATTTGAACAAATGGAGAAGTTTGTAGGTAAGAAATAACTTCTTCCTTACTAGATGATAATGCAAATGGACCAAAAAGCCACATTATTCCCCTTCTGTGCTCTATCTGCTGATTACATTGTCTGATTTTATTGTATGACAGGATGTGCTCTGAGCATTAGCATTATGCAATAATGACACTCTGGTCTCAAAAACAGCCTTGGTAGTGAAACTTACCCTCTCTTCCTTAAGTGCCACAGCACTATTGTGCTTTTAGCACAAAAAAGTGTTTAACCCTTTCTAACAATGAACAAACTCTGCATACCAAGCTAGAAGTTTCCATGGCCACTTTTCCAGAAATCTGGCAGCCAATTTGGCTAATCTAGAATATGTTCTCCATATGAATGATCTTGGAGGAGAGGTCTTCCCAGATTTTCCCATAAAATTGTCAGTCAGAATTAACGTGGATATCAGCTACCCTACAGTTTCAGCACAATCTAAACTAAGGTATTTGAGTAGGTGCTGAAAGGAAAGCATTTTATTTCAGAATCTATTTTCATACATGGGTAGTTGCCAAAGTTTCATGTATTCAAGTGATGGTAATAGATGTTGCCTCCAGCAACACATTGTTTGCTAATGAGTTGGTATAAGAGCATGTTTCTGTTGGCAGTTCACATCTCAGTGGCTAGTAGTCTGCGTACACTCTTTGGAGATCTTAGTTTCTGTAGAAGAGAGTGTCTCCTTTTCTAGGAAGAAATGCTTTGTTTCAATAAAGAGAAAGGATTTTTTTTTTTTTTGATAATGTTTTAGTTTTCTGCTGTGGGTTACACTTGTTGCCCTATCATTTATATCAGTTTGTTCACAACCCCTTGCAACTGCTCTTAATAGGACAGTCCTTGTGCTCAGGGAACGTGGGGTCAAATTCCCTCTTACCTTGACTTTTATGGAGTTTCACAGATACAAAGCAAAGAATAGAAAGTAGAGTAGGGATGTGCCAAGTAACACAGAGATATTCAAATAACCGAACTCACAGGTGTTGTACATGGTTGGCAAAACTACACAGCCCTAGAAAAATACAGAAAAGATCAGCTATGACCCTACAGAATAGAGTTACAGGGTTGTAGGATTATTTTATAATAGCTGAAGGCGATTGCACTACCTTGTAAACTGGGTAAGACAGTATTAGTACCAGTACTTCCAGATCTACTTGTATGGTAGAAGATAATAACCCATTTTTAAATACAATCTTTATGTAATAAGTTTTATTTGTAGAGTGTTAGTTTTATTTGTAGAGTGTTATGAGATGCAGAGTGGTATGAAATGGGAGCTCAAATAATTCATCTTTCATTTCACACAGTCATTATTTGCATGCTCTTCTGTTCTAGTCATTGTTCTTGTTGCTGTTACTGTTTTTTTGTTTGTTTTTGGTGGGTTTGGGGTTTTTCGTTTGTTTTACTGAGCTAATTCTTCCAATGAATATGGCATACAAAAAAAAATAATAACATGATATTCTGCATGCAGTTCCCAATGTCAGAATTAAAATTCAAACAGAATATAATCCTATACTTCAAAAGGCGAATAAGTTCCAAGAAAAAAGGTCATGCAAGTAGAATTGGAACCTCTGTGAACTGACTGTGGTTGTTGTTAAGGTATAGACTTCAGGAAAAATCTTCATTCTTGCCGTTTGCCCAGTCAAAAATCACAGAACCATAGAATGGCTTCGGTTGGAAGGGACCTCAAGGATCAGCAGGTTCCAAGCCTTCTTTTCCCCAGTCTAAACAGACCCATTTCTTTCAGTCTCTCCTTGTAGGGCACATTCTCCAAGTCTTTCATAAGCCTTGTTGCCCTTCTCTGGACCTGCTCCAGCACCTCAATGTCCCTTCTGTACTGAAGTGCCCAAAACTGAACACAGTACTTGAGGTGAGGCTGAGTATAGGGGCAGGATGACTTCCCTGGTCCTACTCACCACACCATTCCTGATACAACCCAGGATGTCATTGGCCTTCTTGGCCACCTGGGCACACTGCTGGCTCATATTCAACTCACTGTCCAGCAGTACTCCAAGGTCCCTTTCCATCAGGCAGCTTTCCAACCACTCCTTCCCAAGACTGTAGGGTTGCCTGGGTTTGTTGTGACCAAAATGCAGGACCATGGAGAATAGAGCCACAGAAGATTGGGCACAAAGCAACTCTGGCCTGGGCAGCAGAGTATTAACCTCTCCCCCTGCTTCTTCACAACAGAAAGCAGAGAGTGAGAGTGCTTTGTAGACTGAGAGTAGAATTTATTCATGAAAATGCGTATCATTTTGCATTACTTTGGTGAAGGGCAAGGGATATTATACCGCACTCCACTGTGGTTCTGAAAATGTGTGTTCCTTCCTATACTACTTATTCATAGTCTGCCATTATGAGTGCAGTTTATGTGTGCAATTTCTGTCCCATTCCTCAGATCTTCCTGTATTACTTCTTAACTGGACTTCCCCCTTTTTATTATATATTCTGCTCTACAACAGTTTCCTGTCTTCATTTTTCAAAGGGATTACAGAGGACAGATCTGATGTATTTTACATTAAACACTGATCAACCTTCCTGTAAGAAGTCACTGCTCTGAGCACGAGCCCAAATCTAAATATGAGCCAAAACCCAACTCATTTGTCTATCAGGCCTGATCTGGTCAATGTAGCTGTATCAAAGATGGCCACTGCTGTCATTTATCTCAGTGTTTCAATTACCACACAAAGTGAAATTCTCTTGTGAGATACTTTTCTATACTCAGTATGTCTGCTAATCTCTCAGCGCTCTGCTGAATGAATTCACTTACTTGAAGTTATCTTTCATGTTCCTCTGTGGTTCACACATTTCACACATTCTGTGTCTGCTGTAGTCCCTCCAAAGTCCCACTGGACAGCTTCCCACTGTTCAACCTCCCACAGAACAGCCTCCCACTGCTCAGAGTACTGGTGTAAAACCACCAATCTTCTTTGTTGACCTGATCTAATGGCAGACAGTCTCTCCTTCAGCTCAAGAGATAGCAAGAGTTGTTTACTGTTAAGAATATATATCTGTTACTTGAAGTATATCAGAAAATTACTAATGCAACCAAAATTGCCATTTGCAGTATTGTTGCATACTCCATTCTCTACTCTTCATTGACCTCTGAGTTCCTCCTCTATTTTCCTCCATTTGGCTCTGTTACACAAATACTGGCTCCCACCCAATTTCAGCTATAATGAGCTGCAATATTCATTAATACAGATAAGTCTACAGAGTGAATGCAGGCCACTTCTATCATCTCCCAGAGCACTTTCATTGGGCCTTTGATCTGCTTACGTGTGTTGACTGCATGGGCTCCTCTTCTAATGGATTACTTTCACTTGCAAGTGAAAAGTGTCCTCTTGAAGAAAAACATCTTTCTCTTCTCTGAACACAGAGATTCTTTGAATCTTTCCGGGCCTGTTGCACAGAACAGTTCTGATCCCTTATTGTACTAGAAATACTGAAAATAAAACTACAGGATTTTGTCACACTAGCCCTGAACAACAACTAAGTGTCACTTATTTACAGAAGGTGTTGTTAAACACTGGAATGGGCTCCCTAGGGAAGTGGTTGAGTCACCATCCCTGGATGTATTTAAAAACCATTTGGATGTGGTGCTCAGGGACACGATTTAGCAGTTGGTTGTTAGAGTTAGGGTAGTATGGTTAGGTCGTGGTTGGACTTGCTGATCTTTAAGGTCTATTCCAACCTGAGCAATTCTGTAA